TAAGCGGCCGAGGGATAGTCAAAATTTTAGTAATTACGGTAACACGACAAGAAGTGAATGTATCTTCAACGCGGAGATGAAGATGCACTGATAATAACACAGTTATCCACTGTTATTCCACTTTATTATTGCTACTAATACGAGACTTGTTTTTCAATTAATTTTATTATGACAGTAACATACCATCGCTGGGACCATTAATTATCGATATGTATCTATTGGATTAATGGGCCGAATGAATGGTAGGCAACACGATTTTCTATTCGTCTAAAAGGCACAATTAATCATATTAAACCAACGGCTTTTCGATATTATACTACTTTACTGATGCACGCTCAAACTTCGCATCCAATTAAAAAGAGAATGTTACATTCAATTTTGTACATCTTGTTTTATTCAACCATTGACTGAATGGATCAAATGCTGAAAGTATTGTGCCGGCAAAATTTCTAATTTTTCTCCTGTCAAACCGACTTTTACTGGGAATTTTAGGGAAGTTACTGAAGATGACTCAAGGCGTTGGTGGCAGTTCTTTGAAGATCTTCCCTATGAATCATAAGCTGCAAATCACTTCTGCGAAAAATGCAGGTCTTATACCTACACATTGTTTATTCTATGTTTGGAAACAATGCCGAAGCAAACAATGTCACTCAACACAATGATGGATATTTTCTGGTCAGGTACCTACCGAGTCAGTGAACGTTTTAAAGTACTTCAAGTTGACATTTAATTATATTATAATTACAATACAATTTCCCACTTTCGTAAAGAATACGCTTATTTAGCAATTGCAAAAACTAATTAATTTCATTTCATGCTTCAAATTAAACCTTCAACTTGTGGGTTGAAGTAAAATTTTCCCAATCTTTAAAAAGTGTACATCTCACGACTTTGAAATCAGTGTTGATTCCATGTAGTACTTTTAATTAAAATTACACTCATTAATTTTTAAATCTGTCCAATACAAGAACGGATCTTCATTGTATAGAACATCTAGTGTCACCGGTCTATTGTGAAGGGAAGGGTAATTTCAGGAAAAGTATGCGTCTCGAGTTTTCACAGAAACCACTTGTAAAAAAGATCAATGCCAATCTGTCACAGGTATTAACATTTAAACGTTTTTGGGACTATTAACCACTAACAGATTTGTAACTTCCTCATTTTCATCAGGACATTGCCACAGATTTGCGATACATTGACACTGTAGGTACACTAAATTTATACACATTTTGTTTCCCATATTACAAAATGCACATATTCATTATCGTTTGCGAAAAAGTGAAACAATGAAGTACTCATTAAGTTTAAGTAAATATTGTCAAAGTTTTTCGGTTTACGTCACATGCACTTTATTCTTTAAATAGACACGAAATTAAATTAGAAACACGCAACCCAGAAGTGGAACGACACCAATGCCAAAACTTCATACATCGCTGTTGAATACAGTAAAAATCATATTCAATTATTCGTAAGACCTAAATGTCCCAAGTAATTGTAGCGTAAATATTTGGATTCAATCAAACCAAAACGTAGCTCCCTTATTAACGGGCTTCATGATTTCATGATTTTGGGCTTTTTGTCCGTCCGTTTGTGGACAAGATAACTACTGTTTTCAGTATTTTGTTTATCATCATCAGAAGCTGGTTTGCTATATTTGTTACAAGTTTATTATCTTCAAAAAACGAAAAGGAGAAAAAGTTAAAATTTTCGAGACATTTAGTTTGAGAGATAAAATATGTCTCTCAAGCTAAAACGATCAAAATCTTATTTATTAGACATTACTAGCTATTACTAAGTACATATAAATAAGAATGAAGGTGAGAATATGATTAACGGATATAATACAATTCTTGTGGGGACATTGCCACTTTTTGAGCTCCACAGGACACCGTTGAGAGATTTTCAAATCATCATTAGCATTATTTCTTTATATGGCCTGTAAAAATGTACATACTGTATTGAGTAGCCTTTCCTATTAGTGACACAACGATGTACGGCACAAAATCAAAACAACAGTTGGAAACTCTGTTGGTTTCAACAGGATGGTCCACCCGCGCACATCTTAATCGTATGAGAGTACCTATCGGAAAATTGCAAATTTGTCCGATGGGTGTTCTGGCACGATTAGGGCGTCGTGCGCGGGTGCACCATCCTGTTGACACCAACAGTTTCCAACTTATTTTGTTTATGTGTATGCCGTATTCGTATTAAAAAATGCTACTCCATACAGTGTGTACTTTTTTACGGATCATATAAAAAAATAAAGTTGATGATGATTTTTCCGAATCGAAACTTTGTATTGAAAATCTCTCGACGAGCTCCAAAAGTGACAATGGGAAAGTGATTTTTTGTTTTCGCAAATTTAGGTTTTTCTGGCATATCTTCGGAAGTTTTCTTCAAACCATGATAATAACTGTTTAATTGCGCAACATTTTCCTAATTAAACCATCATCGTATCTTCTATGGTTTGGGAGATCCCCACGGTAGACATTGATACACAGGGTGTTGCATTTAAAAATACCAGCTTTGGGTCAAATCTCAGAAACGACGGTCCAACATTGATTGTATTGATTGTATTGGCTTCCCTTTTTGTGAAAGAATTTCACCGATCAAGCGGAAATCGATAAATTTAGTCTTGAATCTTAATCTCTAATGTACGGGTGTCCCATTTTCGATACTTTTAGAGAGTATATCGTAATTGTTAGTGCTATTAAAAAAGTAACAAAGACCTCATTCGCATTTCATTGTCAAACTTAAAATAGTAAAATTAAAATTTGAAAATATTCGCTCGCTTAAGAGATACGGGGGAAAATTAAAAAAATTGTCAATTTCAGAATGATCCTACATCTCCCTAGCTAAAAGAGATACAGAAAGAAATACATGAGCAGGTCTGTCGATAATTTTTTACATTTTTGTAATACCGATACTGATAAATTAGTAAAAAGGAAAATTTATAATAGGAGAAAATAATGTGACTTGATATTAAATATTTCACCTCCTCGCTTTTCTGTAATCCTTAAACGGTAACTTTTAAACGAGAAATTTGTAGCATAAGAATATAATACGTTAGGAGGTGTCTGGCTATAATTTTTTGCGGTTTTGTGATCCTGTAACGGAAGATGGTGGGGAAAACTGCACCTTTTCAATATTGTTAAATATTTCTTCCCCTGATACAACGGTTTGTAAAAACACAAATTTAAAAATAAGACGCGAGACCTCAAGTAATCTGTATGTATGTTCCGAATCCTCGATATTTTGAAATTTCGGATTCCGCATAGGTATACATATAACGATGATAGAGGTATATTTGTGCAACAAATCGCGACCACGAGGGTTTTGCGGGCGAAATAATTTTTTTCAAAAAGATTCATATTTATAAAATAATGAATGCATCCTTAGAGTCTCCCGTCCAGTTTTTAAATTGTAAAATATTACATTTACACAATTTACAAAATAAATAATTAAAACTTCAAAATCGGTGACATTCTAATGGATTTCCCGAAGTTGACAATAATACAAATTTTTCAGCACTTTATAAATTCGCAAGTAGTTTTTGAGTAATTATCATGAGAAACTACTTAAGCGAAAATTTTAAATCTTAACAATGCGTTTGTAGCCACAGTACAAAAATAATAAATTGTAATAAAAAAGTTTATTTTTCACACGAGATCTTTGATAAGTAGATTGAGCATTTTATATTACACAAACAAAAGCAATTTTTAGCCAAAAAGGATGTTTTATTAAATCGGATCTTCCCATCCCTTGATGGATTAAAACCGGGGTACAGTGTCTTTCTTAGAACGTTCATTTTAAAATTACAAAAAAGTAAGGTCTTTTGATATTCAATATGCAATTTGGAATCATTGGCTCTGGTTTGTATATAGAATGCCAATTATTCAAGCTGAAAAACTATAAAAGTTTTCCTCCTCATTGAATCTTTCTCGTTATTGTATTCTGCAATACGAAAAGTATAGACTGGAAATGTAAATTATGTGGTCTTTCTTATTTTGCATTATATCACAATTGTTTTCTCTTCACATCCTTGATTTATTGCTAATCAATCAAAAAGATGCTATTATTTAAATTAGATTACATTTTTGCATTGTTAATCGCCTTGGCCCACACGTAGTTATCATAAACACTTGCTAACATTACGAATGTGGAATTTGAAAGCTACATTGAAGCAAGGAGATGGGCGCGACACAAACCGAATTTTGGTGAAAGAAATAATTTATGGGATTCAGAACTCTCATCCTGATTTATGGATGCACATCGCATGCATTTGGTCAAGTTCAATTATTTATACGCAGACGACTTTATATAAAAACCCGTTTTATAACGTTTAACACGAGGACAGTAAACCACGTCGTTGCATCTCCTCGGATTCATGTTACTGCATTTTAGTAGCACATCAATTACCGGAATAAAACTTTTTTTTACTTACAAAATTTCTAATTCATACTACTGTAATGAGATTTTGCATTACATCGGCTTCCGGAGAGGGTTGAAAGATCACTGACCTACTCAGCAAGCGCTCTCTTGCGTACAAACCCTCCAATGACAATATTGATTACAACCTTTGGCTATTAATGATTGCATATTTATTTGGTTGATTGAATAACGACATTGACAGTGAACGTTTTACAAGTTCGAGTTTATTGTAGCGTAAAACAAACCTTACCTACTTACATCAAGTTTGCATTAATTTAAGTGTAATTAATTAATTCGAAATGTCACACATTCAATTCATTAGCTTGTAACGACGCCTAAAACATGCGATGTAACTGAACCATTATTCGCTTAGTTTAAACATTAATTATCATAACTGTATTTAGCCACGAAAATATGCACATGTTTTTCAGATTAATGCCATTAACCTGAAATTTTGGAATAAAAATTTACGCACCCACACCTCATCAATCCAAATATCTTTTTATAATTGACAAGCTACAGAATTTAATAAATTGAAATGAAAATGAGTGGCAAAATTTTTTACTCACCGCTTTTTTCCGTAGCCAACTTTATCGAGCTCAATATGTCGGTAAGTAGCGTAAGTAGTCATGTTCACAGAATAATTTATTAATGAATAAGTTACTGTTAACAAATGCACGAGTTCTCGGAGCTACCACGGCACGTTTGGACAGCTGACTGGAAGCTTGCGGCTTTTGCAGAAGCTTTTATAGGCATCGTGCGCACTGGGCCATAATATATCAGGTGCTTTGTTTCAGTTCCACTTTTATTGCATTACAAATTTCATATAGCTCTTAAAGGCAGTTCGAGCACTAATGGTCAAAACTGCATAGATAAATGGACACAAATTCCTAGTGATAAGAGGCGATTGGAATTTGTAGGAGAGAGGACATAGCGATAGATTACACCGTAAATCTCTACAAAGTCGGAAGTTGTAACGCTAATCGTAAACCGATGCGTTTTTCCTTATCGGCCGCTGTAAAATGCAGAAAGTTGAAAATCTTTATCAATGAAAGCAATTAAGTTTAAGTAATCCTCTTAAATCTCTCTATTGTTAGCTATCGAGGAATACAATTGCGCATTTGCATACGTTTAAAGATTATCAGCTTAAATATACCTACTCCAAAATATTCAATATCATATACTCGGTATTGTGTAGTTAATCGAGTAATAACATCTACCTACTTATAATTAAAACTTGGAGTAATTAAGGTAATCAATAATTGATTAAAATTATGAGATTTTCCCAATACTTTAACAAATTGACTACTCCAATTGTGACAGAAAGTTTAATGTTAACTGTAATCAACGTGAAGTTTTATTTTAGGGGTTGTTTCTTTATTATTGTTGAGGATATTAAATTGGGCAAAAGCTGCGGTTAAACATCAATACGAACAATGTTTTTTATTACAATAATTCTTATGATACGAGTATTAATTATTACAAACGACAACTTCCATAGATCAAGTCAATTTTATGGGAAAATAAATCAATTAATTTAAAGGTTTTACTTCAAGACCTCCCCTCAAACTTTAAACTCCCATTTATTGTACAATGTTTCTCGAAGACGTTGAAATGGAATTCTTTGGACTAGCTTGGCTTTCGCCAATTCAAACTTAATTTCTTCCCCTGTTAATTGACATTTTTCGATGATATTTTCTACAGCCTGGAAGACATGTTTATAAACTGAGTGGGTTTACCTTTAAGTACTTCCTCGGTTGATTCAGTTGTAAGTGGGCCCCCAAAAGCACTGATTTTCATCGAGGGGAAAAAATGCGAAACTGGTCCAGAATTTCATGCTGCTTATCACTGTTACGGCCTAGTATCCCTAATTCTCATTTTGTACGAATAAGGCTCGGTTGTACAACGTCAGTTTTAAACTTCAGTTTAGTTTAACTGACAGATTTCATTAACTTTTGAAATATTAGCTAATCAAATCCTTTAACCCACAATTTAAGTATAAACTGAAGTTTAAACTGACATGTACAACTGGGCCTTAGAGTTAGACCCACTTTGCTAGCCATGTGCTGAATTTTCTTTAAATCATCAAGTACAGTAGACGGACCCCAGCGACCGTTCTATCGCCTCCAGGAACCATAGGTTAATTTTTGACGCCATGACTAGCACAATTAGATAAATAACCATTGCAAATAGGGCTGGGCCTGCCGGGTTGCCTTACTGCACTCCTCGTCTTGAGTAAATTTTAGATGTTCCGTGGTAAAGGTTTCGCCTCTACATATAGGCTTGTGAGAAGAAACGGTACTACCGAGGAAATTTTTGTTTTACCATTGTCAGTAAATTATCCTTCGTCACTTCATTAAATGCGTTTTGGAAATCAATTTTCAAAAATACTTTGGGATGAAAACGCTCAGATGAAAAGTTTCTGGAAACCGTGTAAGCCCCTGCCTGATCAATATATTTGATACCTACACCCAAATGATGAGTCAGAAGTCACCAGTCATACGACTGATATCCGTCTGAAAGCTTCGCCTCGATTTTCTTTTCCAGATTTGTGTTACCCCCCAGTTCCCCAGGTTGAGACTCATTTTTAGCCTCGTCTTCAGCTGCGACTTCACCTAATAATTGAACAATATCGGGCGTAACCTTCAACCAGCCATTTGAATATACATTCTTAACTCGATCTGACTTTGACGGTACTGGTAGGATGGAGTATGAGAATAGGAGAAATTTTTTCCAGAGGGCCTCATTTATTTATTTATTTCACGAAGTAAAGAAGTTAAGATTTATGCGACTTCAGTCCTTGGTCCCTTAGGGCATCTGCGAAGAGTAGGGATTTTTTGTTTTAATTTAGCTAGATGGAGGTCTATATCTTAATCAGTACCGCACTAGAGTGATCACCAGATGTGAATGGAGCGGATGACCATGGAATAGAACATATTTCCTTCGAATAGCAATCGAAAATTTCAGATTTCATAATTGAGGAATTGGGTGAAATTCTGAGATTCTTAGAGATTCGGAAAATCATTAGATAGGTATAACTTGAGATTTATTTTTACATGCGAGGTGGTGTAACTAAGATTTTGGTCCTTGGCATTAAAGTGCTCTAAAAAGTTCTTGGCAAAGAGTCTAGAGTATTCTCTAAGGAGTCCACTATTGGAGATCACCTTAAGTGGGCTATCTCTCTTCTTGAGTATTTTTGAATCTGGAAAGCATTACGGATAAAACCATTCTCCCTTATAGGAACTGATCTAAGCCCGACCGAATCCAAATGGAACCATTAAATCGTACAGTCAGTATCATCACAAACAATCATTTGTTCATAAGAAGGTTTGTTACAAGTACAGAAAATTGATGGTGATCCCGAGGTAGTAAAAGCATTATGTATGCTGGTGAGTAGTTCCAAAAAAGGTGAGTGCACGAATAGGGGGGAGTGACACAATAAGATATAAAACCGTTTCAATTTTTTTTAATTTTTCAAAAACGCGCCCAGACAACTTTCGGAAATGTACGACGATAAGGTGTTTCTCGAAACGATTTTTTCTTGGGAGTAAAACACTTCAGGCAATTTGCCTTTCTGTTTTAAATAATCCGTTGTAGAATTTTCTCATGGACGTAAATTCGGGAGGCGAGCTTTCTTAGAGCCAAATCCATCCATGGGTGAATATTCTGGGGTAGAATCATCCGAGGGCGAATTTTCTTCGGGGAAATCCTCCAGGGGTATATTTAGGGGGCGTACTTTTGCCGGGATGATCGAATTCAGGAAGTCAATTTCCGACGCGATCGCGAAATGCATTAAATTACCAGAAACATATTTCCCAGATATGTAGATCTGTATATTTCCAGAAGGATGTGTAAATGTCCTGAAAAGTCTATAAATTCCCATACATATCCTTAAACTCCCAGAAATATGTGGCCTCTCTTTCGAATCGCCATATAAACCTGTACATTTATAGTCAGATCACTAAATTAATAGAAATATCTTATACGTCCTTTCTACACTTCGGTAGATTTCTTCTCTAAAAATCATTTCTTACACAGTTTAAAAATTAATAAAAATTACGACTGGATTAATTATATTAGGTTTTCTTACTAACGAATATCCCGAACCATTCCAAGACGTTTTTTGTATACTTAAGAAATTAATAATTCTCTTGTTTCAATAAAAATGTTATTATGTAATTCAAGTATAATTATTATAACACTCACATATTGGTCCTACTGATCAGTAAATGAGAATCCGATTTCTATGATTGATTTTAATACAAGTAACTTTTTGCTTTATAAATGTTTGAATACGTCCTGTTTAGGAATTATAATAGTTAACCTATTTCAACAGCAAATAATTTATGACTACAATTTTATATTATTCATAATCCCATTTAGGTAAGTAAGAAATATAATTAATTATACCGTTTCAAATATTAGGTGGGTATAAACCCCTTACTTTCTAGATAAATTACATAGCATTAACACACCTTGATGTATTATTGAACCTTATCCTGGGGCAAGGTAGGTATACAGGAGATTATAACAATACTAGTATCAAATTCCGATGCCTTTGTAGTGTACAAAATATGAAAGCTTTTAGTTGTTTAAATGTTGACCATAAGGGAGTCTTTTTATCACATTAACTGTAAATTGAGATTATACAGCTCTTAGAACAATGAGGGTCGCTATCCCTTGTGTCATACCTGAGATCCTGGGTAAACTCTATTTTCTATCTGCTCTCCCCAATTTAGGATCCTTGGACTGCTTGGCAGAAAGTGAAGGGTTCGCTAAGTAATATCAGAAGAACAAATAGTTCAGCATGTATAACAATAACGAGCTCGAATGCACTTAACATGCATACGCCAAGTTTGTGCATGGGAAAGTGCCACTTCAATTATTCAGTGATATTTATGGAGACGTGAAAAACCAGAACACTAACACGTCCCACATTTAAAAATTTTTAAGTTTATATCAACATTTTTGTCAATTATATTGCTAATAGGAGTGGATGCGCGGTATGTTTTACTTAACATCTTTAATGAATTTTATTTCGAAAAACTCATATATTATGCATTTTATGGCACATCTTAATTATCTTCGTCAGAATTAACTATTCATTTATAGCAGATAATTATGGTAGGGTCAATCGCATTGGAAAGTTTTAATGTACTGTAAATAGAAAATATTGGCATTTTTTGTCACTATGCCATTACGGGTAAGTAACTCAAGAATATTTGGTGTCACTTTAATGAAAAATGCACTAGATCCGTTGTAGTTGAATTACGTTATATTGAAATTAATGGCGACATGAGAGAAAAGACAGTCGGCGTTAAAGTATCAAAGCATTTTAATTGGTAGGTATAGATAAGGCTGTTGATGTAATTAGAGAAAGTACAGAATTTAAGTACTTACTCCTAAGTAAACAAAGTGTATCAAGAAGATTTTACAGGCCTAGTTAATGGAGTGGAATGTTTAATATCTCCTTACGTGATGAATATTTGATTAAATTAGAAACAATTCCAATTCTAGTTGCATTAATGCACTTCAATTTGAAATGCTAAATGTCTAAGTATAATACGGTCTAAATTATATTAATTGCGTTATTCTTTACTTTTGGGTATAATAAAATTATAATTTAGATACCCCTATTTCTATTGAACGCTTTGAACAAAATTTAAACTTTAAATCTTTAGGTTCAAATTTTTTTCTTGATATAAAATGTATAGCAAAATAGATAGCTGCGGCAATGATGATTCGCACAGAATCAATCCTTCGTTTACAAAACATGCCTGATCCAGTAAACAAACGTAAAGGGTGATTGATGGGATAACCGTAGTAGCCCGGGCT